CCTATGATGCTGCTTGGCCTGCTGTGTTCATCCAGCCCTGCACCTTGCTGTCATCAGAATTTCATCCCATTTTCAAAGAATGATTAGCCTGTGTTTAATAAGTGTTTGATCTCTGGAATGTAGTGAGGCCATTTGTTAACACTTTGGTCACGACATGCTTTAGGAGGCGCTGCAATTTCGCAAATTCCATTCCCTGTCCCCAAATCAGTTCATAAAACACAACTGTCTCCCAAATTAGAGATAGTAAGAACTGCAGATGCTGGAGTCAGAGATAACAGTATGGAACTGGAGGAACACAGTAGGCCAGACAGCATTAGAGGAGCAGGAAAGTTGACTCGAAACATCAACTTTCCTACTCCTCCGATGCTGCCTGGCCTGCTGTGTTCCTCCAGCTCCACACTGTGTTATCTCTCCCAAATTAGCCTGGCTGTTCCAGACTCACTGAATCAGACGATGAAATCACAGCTTTGAGTTGCACTGACCAGTTTCCATCACTATGTGGGGCTCTAAGGAAACAAATATACAGGCCAAAAATTGCTGGCAGGATAATCATGAGGTCACCGTGCTCCTCAGAGTTATTAAAGCACGTGAGGCCATTCAGCCCATCAACTCTATGTTGACTCTCTGAGTACAGCAATCCAGTCGGTCCACAACCAGCAAACCTCGCAACCCTATCCCTGTCGTCCTTAAACTTCACTTTCCACAAATGTTCACTTAATTTCCTTTTTGAAATCCTTGACCATCTTCCCTCCCAGCACCCATATTGACAATGAGTTCTCGGACTTCACCACTCACTGCTTGGGGAAAAAAAAAAGACATTCTCTTCGTGTCTCTTGCCTCAAATCTTAAATCTGTGGGGCGGAATGGTGGCTCAGTGGTTAGCACTGCTGCCTCACAGCACCAGGAGCTCGTGTCTGATTCCAGACTCAGGTGACTCTGTTTTCATTCTTCCCATGTCTGCATGGATTTCCTCCCCCAGTCCAAAGTTGTGCAGGTTAGGTGGATTGGCCATGCTAAATTGTCCATAGTGTCTAGAGA